ATGCATGTCGGGTAAAAAATGACCAGTCAAAGTTTGATGCGCGTTATAAATGAAAACAGCCCCTCAAACGTTTCCAGTGTTAAAGTCGTGTCTACCTTCATTGGGGGATTCAACGCTGACAACCCGGCTGAAATGTAGCGAAACTGACAAATAGTGTAATTTGTTTTTATAATACAATGGTACCGTTTGCTCTTCTCAGCAGCATGTTTATAACGGATCTCAACAATACTAACAACAGTTTAAAGAGACAGTGCTGTGAAATGTATTTTTAAAATTTGTTTCTTTATTGCTTCTTAATATGTATTGCAGTATTTTGCACAATCAAAGACTTGTTTAAAAAATCAAATTTGCTTGTTTAAACAATTTGCCAGCGTAATAAATGACTTTTAAATGAAAGAAAATATTAAATAATGAATACATATATTTCGGTTCCACCAGGCGTCAGTGTCGTATGTCAGCAGCCACTAACCCCATAAACATCATGGAACATTAAAGGTACCCAGTACGCATACAAATACACATACGAATACAAAATACGCATACAAATACACATACAAAGCATGCTGTAGCCGAATGGTTGTCACGCCAAAATCCCGGGTTCGATCCCCCAAGTGGGTATAATATGAAGTTGGTGCCCCCCGTCGTAATGTTGTTGGAGTATTGCTAAAGGCGGCGTAAAACCATACTCACTCACTCGTGTACAAAACGCCAACACAACTGAAGAAGCGTCTATCATTATTCACTGAGCAAAAAAGGCAAAATAGCGCGAACACCAACGAATGAACCACGTGAAACGAAAGACGACACCAGGTGCTCTGTACTACAAAACAATGATATGTGGAGTGTTGAAACGCTCTGACGTCATAGTTTGTTCATATAGTCAATCACTGGGTTGACTGGTCTAAAAATGAATATTTATATAACTGGATCATCGCTGTGTGCAGCAGAAAAAAAACATGCATTCGCTTTTAAAATATCCAACATATTTTGAGATGCCCTCAGTATTAGCTTCAACGGCGAACTGCTCAGGGCTCCTCTGTTTCTGTGATAAACTTTAACTTTCATCCCCAGACCTGCAATATCTATCATCCTCGAACGTGACTTGCACGTGCAGCCTTCCTTCGTCATAAACGATTGTTCCATTTTCTTTATTCGAATAACACGACGACATCGTTGTTAAGTTGTTTCGTGTGTGTTTCTTGTTATTTCAATGTACGGACGGACGCACACAGCGCGTGCTGCTGACCCCGTGGCCGCAATGTTTAGCCATTACTGACCGTCACTGTGGGAGGATAACTGGTGTAGACAAAACAAAGACAAAACCCCTTTAACTTTACTTCAAAACTTGACATACTTCAACATGTGCTTCAGTTGTGCTATTTCCTCTGAACGTATGAGTTGGAATAATAGTGTAGATGCTTCCAATTGCTTAGTCGCTTAATTTGAAAATGAATATTCAAGGGAATGGTTGTGAAAGATCGTTGATATGAAACTGTGTCCTCTGTGTCTTGACATGTATTCTCTGTTTAAGAATCCACCTCTGGTCATCGTACCCTAAGAAGACTATATATATCGCAAATATTCAAAATAGTGTCACTGGAAAGAGTGAGTGAGTGAGTTTAGTTTTACGCCGCACTCAACAATATTCCAGCTATATGGCGGCGGTCTGTAAATAATCGAGTCTGGACCAGACAATCTAGTGATCAACAGCATGAGCGTCGATCTGCGCTATTGAGAACCGATGACATGTGTCAACCAAGTCAGCGAGCCTGACCACCCATCCCGTTAGTCGCCTCTTACGACAAGCATGGGTTACCCAAGATCAATATTCTAACCCGGACCTTCACGGGTACACTGGAGAGAGAGGGAGAGAGAGAGAGAAAGAGAGAGTGGGACGGAAAGAGATATATAAAGTGATAGAGTGACGGAAAGAGGAAAGATATTATAGATTTAAAGAGGAGAGGTCAGATTGAGTGAGTGAGTGAGTTGGGCTTTACGCCGCCTTTAGCAATATATCACGGCGGGTGACACCAGAAATGGGCTTTACACATTATTGTACCCATGTGGGGAATCGAACCCGGGACTTCGGCGTGACGTGAGAACGCATTAACCACTTGGCTACCCCGCCGCCCGAGAGGGGTGAGAAGGAGACAGGAGAGAAACAGATAGAGAAAGAGGGGGTAGATGAAATGGGACATACATCGAAATCAGTGTCAGTGTGAGCGTATGAGATTGAATGAAAGAAGAAACGACAGACGAATAACGCCATAATCGCGAGAATAGCGAAACGATAAATTCAGCCTTCTGGAGGGTCACCAGTGTCCGGTTTTACGACATTATATCCCTCACATGTTTACTATTGTAGTCATATTGCTGAGTGCGGCGTAAAACTAATCTTACTCACTCACTATTGTAGTCAGTTTGTGCCTATACTATTGGCGTCTCATCTGTTTTCAGTGACGTCATTTAACAATGGTTGTCTTCTTAGCTTTATCTAAATGGAACCAAATACACAGTGACATCACCAAGCAAGACGTTTCAGATACAACAGTTACTTGATTTTCATTAATTCAAAACAAAAAGGATCAATAGGATAAAGAACATGAAAAAAGTAGGGTTTATTTGTCTTTCATGATTGTTCCACTCATAAAAATGTTATATACCATTCTCACCCCAACGTCTGTACATCATGGCAATATCCTGTAGCATATAGAATAGTTATATTGCATACTGAAAGCTCTCACTGTTATTGATATTGCTCTAGCGCTCTACAATAAACTATCTATGGTCCATATATTTATATGAACCGTTTTCCGCGTTCGAAACAAAATATATTGCTATCGAAAAAATATTAATAAATGTACAATGTGACTCAAATATGACAACAACGTTAAACAACATGAAACTGGTAATTGATCCTGAGAGGAATGTGTTCCCTCATGAATTTCATATTACGGCTTGACCAGTCATCAGAGTAGAAATACAGCAGTATGTAGTGACAACCATGCACTATCCAGCTATTAATTACAACCAATATATCACTATGTATGTATACCATTCACAGACACATATGCTACATATGCGAACCATCAACAAAATGTTCATATGGAACTAATAGAAACCATATGCTAGTGACATTAACATATTCACTTTGCTAAAAATATCACCTCTGTGATTCAATTAGTAAATACTTTTTCGAGTTCAGCTACTAAATTAATGTTTCCATGCATTTGAAGTTTGTTTGCCAGTGTTTGCATCACATTTCGTTTAGTTTCCATATTGTAAACCGATATCTTTACAAATCTTTGTCAAAAATATTAAGCTGTTTTTTCGTTAACATATTCTGTGACCTACTTGGAGCGCCCCTAACCGAATCGTTTTTATAGCAGTCTTTGAAAGAATTTCACGGGCAATTTACTTTTCAATTATTATTGTCGGAGGGGAGTGGGGTCCCCGGAGACCGATATGCAGTGAGAGAGATATGAATGTCATGGTTTAACGTCTATATTCCTTCTTAACGTCTTTATTTATAACGTGTCCTCAACCGGAACGCCAAACGCCAAGGCGCTAAAGATACTATTTTCCTTTCTGCACTGCAGGCTTATCATTACACATCGGCCCCATTCGTTTACATAGTTTTACAATTTATTTCATATTTATAAACTTTATTTGTTTTGAAATCCACGTAGCCATGTAGCCATGGAGTAACGGTCCCTACGTTTACGAGCAGTCTGTGATTGGTGTAGCGTTTCGCCAATGTTTCGGTACTTCCTCTGCGAATGTGACATCACTCCTCTTGATAACTTGATTACGCTTAAAGGGGCTGGTCTGTAGGGAACGGAAAGATGAGATGTAAATTTGGAGTCTTTAAAATATTTTCCACTGAACTGTTGTTATAATTGCACTGTGACTTTGGTATATATATTGAGTGAAGGCACCATTTAACCCTGGTGATAGTGAATACATGTATTTATAATCTCTTCTATAAACATTTTGTTTAGGAACAATTTTAAACATTTTTTTCAACATGTTTACGATGTTTTGTGTGACGAATGCCCGAAATGATGCAGGGCAATTTTTTTAGTTTAGTTAATCCGTTAAAACTGGTCTTCAGCAACCCATGTTTGTCGTAAGAGGAGACTAACGGCATCGGGTGGTCATGCTCGCTGACGTGGTTGACACATGGCATTGTATCCCAATTGCGCAGATCGATGCTCTTAGTGTTGATCACTGGATTGCCTGATCCAGACTTGATTATTTACAGACCGCCGCCATATAGCTGGAATATTGCTGAGTGCGGCGTTAAACAACAACCAAACGTGTGCTTCCCTGAGCAATTGGGAACCGATGACATGTGTCAACCAAGACAGCGAACCTGACCACCCGTTCCCGTTAGTCGCCTCTCACGACACGCATGGGTTGCTGAAGACCAATTCTTCGTCGGAAGCACACGATACATTTTACTGTAGATATGGATAATAACCGGCAAAACCCCGACCTTGTGGCTCTCTGCATAGTATCAGTAGTGTAGTGCGAGGACTTTCTGATTTAACATACCACTTCCGAAACCCATGGAAATTCCTGCTGAGTATATTGATCATGCGGGGTTACTACTAAGTGTTGTGATTACAAACGTAATCCCTATCCATGGCATTCTGTGTGTTTTGCATATTCTAGTCAAACGTTGAGAATGTCAGTCTCCAAACAATCTGTTTCTATTTTTAAAACAATGCTGTATTCTTCGTCCAAAAACATGGACATACCACATATGTCACATAACGAATTAACGAATTCCTCTTGGATTCTGAAAGTTATATTTTCTGAAACGACTGTTCCTTCACATTAGTGATTTTGTTAACTGTTAACTTTTAGACATTGTTCACATCAAAACACTATCGTGCAGACAAGCAAATGAAAACTGACCAGGTCACGATCATTGAAGCAGAAAGAAAAATCCACAAATAAAACCACCAAAACAAAACCAAAAACCAAACAATTCCATATTTGTGGCAGCATTTATTTTATCACCCGATAATGCCGATACTCTCTCTGTGTAATACGTTGGTTAAACATACTTCCGGTATGAAGTCATAACTTCCGGTCACAGGAAATCGTTTCGATTCACGATAGGAAATCCTATATCATTTACATCATACAGCTTTTTGAGAAAGGAGGGGTGCACACTATTGAGAAAAGAGGGGGTGCACACTTCATTTTCACTGGTTTCAATGGTCATTTAATAAACTTTCAGGACAAAAGGGAAGGGGGGGGGTCTGGATCCGCCTATGCATTATGCACTTCCTATCTACTGGTTTTACTTCCGGTTTCCGTATTACTTCTCTGTAGTGAGAATTTATGATAAATACAGTTCTTGATCTTGTTTTCGACCAGTACGATGAATATATACTGCACGTCCGGTAGCACTGGCGAATTCATTCTATGTAACTCACGCAGCGGGGCTTTGAAACACGCTTCCGAATGGCGGCGTCACGTTAGGAATTCATCACCATCAGGCATTTCATCATCATCATCATCATCACGTACTTCATCTTCCCTTCCATCACCCCAAACCTTACACACACCTTCAAGTCCCATCACAAAGTTTTGCCTTTCCCTGGTAAACCCGCCGTCGTGGGTCAATGGTCATCGGATGGTCTTGGATGGTAGTACGACGAGTTGATGGACACCCACTGCCTGTTCCAAGGTCCAATGACGTCCTTACGTGATGTTGACGGTGGTTGGGTCACAAGTTCAGATTTACCAGATCTCTCTAAAATAAAATCAGTTTATATGATAATGTGTGTATTATGCTAAGCGTACTCCTTCTGAATTGCTGCACGCAACAATACTGAAACCAGAAACCAACTCTGAAAATGCACAAGTTACTATTGCGTTCATCGAAGAAACTAACAGGTTAAACACTAAAGGGGTTTTCAAACTTAAAACGCAAAACACATCTTTGTATATGTAACTCCATGGGTATTGCGTCATAGATAAAACCCGTGAAGGTCCGGGAACGAATTGATGTTCAGTAACCCATGCTTGTCCTAACAGGCGACTAACGGGAGTGGGTGGTCAGGCTTGGTTGACGTTCATGATGTTGATCACTGGATTGTCTAGTCCAGATTAGATTATTTACAGACCATCGCCATATAGCTTGAATATTGATGAGTGCAAAAAATCTTTCACTCACTCACCCGTCATCGATAACGTACGTTTGAACAACGTTGCATGCCAATGAATAACGCCCTAGATTTTCCCAAAGGTCACGTCCGATGACCGAAGTGGTGGATCAGAACGCTGACAACCCATGGAGTATTTTGTTACACACACGAATGAATTATTTACATTTCATATATATTTCAGAATTATTTCAGCTACATTGCGGCGGTCTGTAGATAATTGAATCTGGACAAGACAATCCAGTGATCAACAGCATGAGCATCGATCTACACAACTGGGATACGATGACGTGTCAACCAAGTCAGCGAGCCTGACCACCCCATCCTATCAGTCGCCTCTTACGACAAGCATGGGTAGCTGAAGACAAATTTTAACACATCCGAGTATGGAAACATAGTATACACACTAGCTTCTCTTATTCATTGTTCTCAAGTAACAATGCTTTCATTACATACCATTTGATACCCTTAGAACAAATACTGATGCCTCCGCCAACTTCGACGTCCTCGAGTCATTCGAGTCAGATCTCTGTAAACATTGATGTCCGCTCGGCACATCTCGATGGTGATGTGCTTGATGGGATGATGTGACGTATTGCGTTGATGGTTCATTTTTAACCTGCTCCATGCATCGGACCTTGTCTGTGAATACTGGGAAGACGTATTCCCCTTTCCGTATTTCCTGTTTGCAGAAGTGTTGCATCAATAGCCTGTCCATCATAGTATGTGAGTGTGGATCTTAAGTCGGATTTTGCACTCACTCCGGATGAAGTAAGCTACACAAGCATTTGGAATTTTACTTATGACGGATGAAAAACGTCGGCTAAAAACAGCTAAGCCCAGATAACATTGTATGTGAAATCCAATAAATGAAATGAAATGAACATCTAGATATGATATCAAATATGCACGATGTTTTTTATAATCAATATGTCCATATCTCCGTTCAACAGCAGGAACTATGTGTTGAAATCAAACACAAACAGAACTGATTGGCAAGGTAGGGCCCCACGCACCGTTGATTTGGAAATAACGATAACAATCATATTGGTTGTTGTTATCATTTCAAAAGGACACTGAGATACGGTTATTGTCTGATATGTCTGACATCGGTTGCGACCTGATAACTTGCACGAACACACTGATATTCAAGTCATACCAAGGGTGTGAGAGACATTTGCAGCAGTATTATTCATTGTGGAACAGTGTCGCGGGTGTATTGCATTATTTCTGTTGACACTCAGTAGGGGTTAATGGGCCTTTCCAGTATTGGCTAACCCAGAATAATATGAATAGTTCCAGAACCGTTATTCTATATATAGGAGGTGTGCTTTACATCTGAAACTAGAGGAATTCTGTGAAGATCACTTTCACCCTGGATTCTAATGAGTGAGTTTAGTTTTACGCCGCACACAGCAATATTCCAGATATATGGCGGTGGTCTGTAAATAATCTAGTTTGGACCAGACAATCCAGTGATCAACAGCAGGAGCATCGATTTACGCGATTGGCAATATGATATGTGTCAACCATGTCAGCGATCCTGACCACCCGATCCTGTCAATCGTCTCTTACGACAAGCATGGGTTACTGAAGATCAATTCTAACCCGGATCTTCACGGGTCTCTGGGTCCTAAGCCTTGGCCTATTGTGCAAGTATGACTACTCTTTCAGAGCGGTGAATATTACCATTCCTGTTTTTATTGCTATAATCACTGCCATTGAATTTGTTCTGCCGCTCTAATTGATCACTCCCATTGTAATTCCGTTGTAGTGATATCACACAGGACATATGGAATCCGAGAAGGGACATTGTCGCGTTGTCGCATTGTCGCGTTGTCGCCCTCTCAAAAACAAGCAAAATAAGGCAAAATTAACCAAAGCGCGACAATACGACAATGCGACAACGCGACATTTCGGCCATTTGTCGCATTGTCGCGATGTCGCATGTCGCGTTTTGAATAATATTTTTCTATTCCTCCAAAGGGCGACAATGCGACAACGCGACAATGTCCCTTCCAGGATTCCATAGTTTCACATACCTTTGTTGTTGGTGCTTTGACATCGAACTGCTTTAAAGACTGATTTCCAGATAGCTCAGTTTAAACTTGTGATTCAACACGTAACAACATGTGAAACAATACACTTATATGTACTCATAAGTATTTAAATATTACCAAATACATACACGTATTCGTTATAGAGGCAGTTTATTCGACTCTGTTGAAACAGTTTACCAACAATCCATCAATTTTATTCACCTTCTCTACCTCCATGTTCTCCTGAATATGATGCCATACAATCGTGTAGTGCTGATAGCGTCGTACGTGAAACGGGGTCAGTATTAATTAGAATAATGACGGATTGATGTAAGTATCAATGTCTATTGTAAGGTGTCCGTATTAACTGAAAACAGTGTCATTTGCCGCCAGCCCATATAATTTCGACGCAACGGGGAGTGTTGCTTTTCGAATATATTGTTTGCTGTATGTTCGCTACAAAATCTACATATCCCGAAAAGTGTGTTTGGCTCCTTGTATCAGCATAAAATGCGCTGTCTGCCTTGAAGCATTAACCGACAAATATTCCATCTCCCATAGAATATCTTCCCACAAACTGTGTTCAGTCTCGCTTATAAACATGCGACATACAGTAGATGTACAATCAAAATACTGACCGGCGCAAAGGGCATTATTCCTCCGAGCTGGACCTCATACGTCCAAAGTAGGTCCACTGATGACCACTCCATGGTTATACCGACAATGAAGCACGCAATTGAAAATATCCAAAATTCCACTGGTCTGTGAAGATGGGTCAATTAACATCAGTTTTCAACATTCATATTGGACGACTGTCTCCCATTTGTCTGTTATATATACCATGTTATGAATATGTTTATCGCTGGCAATATGTGACATCTGACGAGTCGGCACAGGTAGTTAGATAACGCTCACTTCGTATTGGCTGCCAGTTATAATAACAGCCCACCCAGCAGCCAACCTTGTACAGTCCATACCGTAAAATAGATGTTTTAAATTCAGTGCGCTGTCAATTGATACACGAGTGAGTGAGTGAGTTTAGTTTTACGCCGCACTCAGCAATATTCCAGATATTTAGCAGCGATCTGTAAATAATCGAGTCTGGCCAGGCCAATCCAGTGATCAACAGCATGAGCATCGACCTACGCAATTGGGATACGATGACATGTGTCAACCAAGTCAGCGAGCCTGACCACCCGATCCCGTTAGTCGCCTCTTACGACAAACATGGGTTGCTGAAGACCAATTCTGACCAGGATCTTCACGGGTCAATTAATACACCAATGCCGTTTGAGTTTGCATCTTAGTTTGTCACATTGCTTTGACTAATTCCAGGCAGACACGAACCTGGTGGGATATTGCTATCGTCGCTGTAAAACATCTAAACAAACGCAAGCAAAACATACATTGAATGAACATTGCGTTACGGTACAAATTCCAATACAGGTTTGTGGAAGGATTTTATTGTTGCTAGGCGAGGTCATACTCAAGTCGATTTAAGTATATTAAGTATCGATTTCAAAATTTGTATCATTGATTTGAAATATGATGATGATGAATCCGCGCCAACAAAATAAATGCTACATACTTAACAATTGTATTCAATTTCACAAATGGACGGGTGCATTTCGTCATGAGGCAAAAGCTAAGCAACGACATAATTAATTCGTCTTAAACTTTGTATGAAGTAAATTGAGTATCGATTTCAAAATTGGAACAAAAACGTGACCCACCACCAAAATATAAAGAAATCCTACATAATTAACAATTGTTTTTAATTCTGCAAAACCAATAAAAGTAAGCAGTATGAAAGTACAAAGAAAAGGTGCAGTACAAAGTTCGGTGTCTGTACAATCACAATGACATTGAAAAATGTAACAGTAAAGAGCGGGGATAGTAAACCCGTTTACACAGCGAGATGATACTGATATAGTAATATTTATCATATATCAATCTATTCTGTCAGCAACAGCCCGTATCACCCACGACGTGATGAAACGTGTAGTCATCCTGCAACAATTCCAATCGCAATTTAATAAACATTGTGAATACCCGAACTGGGCTGCACATCACACCTACCAACAATTGTTTATTATCTATCTCTCACACAAGCTGTAGCAATGTGTATATAACATGTCGAGGTGATTTTCTGTGTGAAGCTCCATAGCATTCAATAACATTCAATATATTCTGTCTATTTAGCTAGTATGTTTTTGCATTTTTTCCATTTTAAAATATTATTTCACCGTCATAAAGCGAATTTATATTTGCCAGCAGAGAGTGTAAACCGCACGACAGATGCAATAGGTTATTGTATATACACTGATCACATTAAGGTATTCAATTCTGAAAATGTATGGTGATATTGAGTAACTTGACAAGTGGACAGCGGCTACACACAAACACATCTCAAGAAACAACAGAGTAGTTTTGTGTCTTTAAAGGCGTAGTGGGGGAATAAAACCTCAAATTTGATTTACCTTTAAAAAATCGCTTTCACATTAACAGGGAATGAAATGCTCCTGAACATAGGTAACATATCCCCGATAATTGTTGAAGGAGCATGTTCAACAGTCCAACGTTAATTTGATACTTTTGTAAAACTTTAAAACTTTAAAACTTAATTCGATTAAGCACCTGTACACCTTACGTCTTAAAAAATCCAGAAAGTTGCTTTGAGTTATTATTTTTTTCACAAACGCCACGTATTTTCATTCGAAATAGGGCATTACTTTACTTCCTGCTGATCCTCTTGTTTAAAATTGAATTCTTTCGGGATCTAGATTTTTTGTAAATACCAAACTTTTGTTATCCTGCCTCACAAAAGATAGAGTCGTGAAAATATATTCATTATTGGGATTCGAATATCGACGTTGACCGTGACGACCGAACATCCTCTCGGACACATAACTGAGGCAAAGGATGATAGTAGGGTTGGTGGTGCTGGTGGTGATGATGGTGGTGCTGGTGGTGATGGTGGTGATGGTGGTGCTGGTGATTATGGTGGTGCTGGTGGTGATGGTGGTGATGGTGGTGATGGTGATTATGGTGGTGCTGGTTGTAGTGATGTTTGTGTTGGTGATGGTGTTGGTGATGGGGATGCTGAAGGTGGTAGTGAAGGTGTTGTTGCTGATGATGGTGAGGTGGTGATAGTGATGGTGGCGGTGGTGGTGGTGGCGGTGGTTGTAGTAGTGGTGGTGGTGATGGTGATGATGAAAGTGAAAGCGATAGTGACAGTGACAGTGATGATGATGATGGTGGTGGTGATAGTGGTGATAGTGGTGATGTTGGTGATGTTGGTGATGTTGGTGATGTTGGTGTTCCTGGTGATAGTGGTGAAAGTGATGGTGGTGATAGTGGTGAAAGTGAAAGCGATAGTGACAGTGATTATGATGATGATGATGATGATGATGATGATGATGATGATGATGGTGGTGGTGGTGGTGATAGTGGTGATGTTGGTGATGTTGGTGATGTTGGTGTTCCTGGTGATAGTGGTGAAAGTGATGGTGGTGATAGTGGTGAAAGTGAAAGCGATAGTGACAGTGATGATGATGATGATGATGATGATGGTGGTGGTGGTGGTGGTGAAAGTAGTGATGGTGGTGAAAGTGAAAGCGATAGTGACAGTGATGATGATGGTGGTGATGGTGGTGGCGGTGGTTGTAGTAGTGGTGGTGGTGGCGGTGGTTGTGACGGTGGTGAAAGTGAAAGCGATAGTGACATTGATGGTGATGATGATGATGGTGGTGGTGGTGGCGGTGGTTGTAGTAGTGGTGGTGGTGGTGGTTGTGAAGGTGGTGAAAGTGAAAGCGATAGTGACAGTGATGATGATGATGATGATGATGATGATGGTGGTGGTGGTGGCGGTGGTGGTTGTGAAGGTGGTGAAAGTGAAAGCGATAGAGACAGTGATGATGATGATGATGATGATGATGATGATGATGGTTGTAGTAGTGGTGGTGGTGGTGGTGATTGTGAAGGTGGTGAAAGTGAAAGCGATAGAGACAGTGATGATGATGATGATGATGATGATGATGATGATGGTTGTAGTAGTGGTGGTGGTGGTGGTGGTTGTGAAGGTGGTGAAAGTGAAAGCGATAGTGACATTGATGGTGATGATGATGATGGTGGTGGTGGTGGCGGTGGTTGTAGTAGTGGTGGTGGTGGTGATTGTGAAGGTGGTGAAAGTGAAAGCGATAGTGACAGTGATGATGATGATGATGATGATGATGATGGTAGTAGTGGTGGTGGTGGTGGTGATTGTGAAGGTGGTGAAAGTGAAAGCGATAGTGACAGTGATGATGATGGTGGTGGTGGTGGTGGCGGTGGTTGTAGTAGTGGTGGTGGTGGCGGTGGTTGTAGTAGTGGTGGTGGTGGTGGTGAAAGTACGATGAATGATGATGATGATGATGATGATGATGATGATGATGAAACTATTTGTGAAACTATGTATGTGAGATTTCATCGTACTGCCGTACATCCGCACGCACGAACACCCTGACTTGACGTAATCAGTCAATGAAAATATTCACGTCACTCATACGACGCTTCGTTATATCTGAACAGGCCGACATTTTATCGGCACTGTCGACACCACATGAAGGTTCTGTACAACCACTCAGTACACCTTGCCAAGTTTCACCTCTTTATCTTTTGTCTTGAAATAAACAGTCCTTGCTCCAAATACCACTTCGGCGCTCATCTATCTAGATACACATGCCTGAACAACGTATTGTTACAATAGCATTGTCGTTATCACTGCTAGGTCGATAACAGGCTCTCTCATGTTCACCTGGGACTATCTGAAGATGCGTTTCTCCGCGTGTCCAAGGCCATGACTCTAAGACAATAGGAACTGAAGAGGGAATTATCTACGATAACTGTGTCTGTTCTATACCGCTCGAAACAAATTAGGGATATAATAATTCGACACGAGAATGGTTTCATGTGTACCTCAATTGCTTGCTTTGTAATGCCGGTGTGACTAGTATTTTAGTTACCGGTCTGTTTGACGTAGGGGGAAATTCCGAAGTAAAGAAGCTTTTAGATGTTCACCCCTTGGATGAAACCTAGGAGCTCAGGGTATTGGCTAGTCTGTCATACAGACCCTGAAACAAATATACCCAGTGCAGCCCATGCAAGTCTAGAATGTGTGGCATGTCTAGATTACCACAGTTTCTGAAAATGAAGAAAGTATCTGGGCTCCTTTTTTCATTTAAATTTAAAAAAATTCAGTTCATTTCAGAGACTAGATGTTAGTCTAGGTATTGTGCTGCAGGACCAGTATCATGATCATGACGTATCGTGGATTTTAAAATCCGATCAGCTGATTTTAGGAAGCAACAGCGAATTGCAATATAGAGAATAAATGTATAAATGTGGAGTCAATATATATGTCGTAAAAGTGGCAAACACTATTTGTCATAGTATTCAACTGTGATGAAACGACGGAATATTACTCCCATTTATATTAATGTTCTATTGTTCGTATAGGTTCGCGTCAGTTAATGGTCCATCGTATGTCAATAGATGTTGATCATGCGTGGGATTGTTCATCACAGCAGTAAACGTCTGTGGCCTACGTCACTCCTACAAATTAAGCAAAAAACAAATTCTACAAACCAGCATTCAACCTAACTCACTCACTCACTCACTCACATAATCTGTAATAATACAACCATGTGCAGTCTTCCTCATTCGTGATACAAAGCGGATTCCCATGCATGATTCAAATCCCACTCCTCCACCACCTTGTCTTATCATTTCAGACAGACAACCTCCCCCTGACCGCCCCCACCCCCCCTACTCTCCGCTCCCAGTGCAGACATCACAAACCTTCACACCAAGATGGGTAGCGCTATTTCATTTGACTCGTTAATTTCAGGTTAGAGATGCGTTGC